GTTGAAGTACATTTCTGAACAAAAAAAAAGCTTCCAGATAATAAAACTTGTTACATAGAAGTTGTTATGGGGTAGATGTGGAAAAAGATCTACCATTACAATTGGACAGAATGCCAAACTGCCTTTTTAAGTCACCCTATTTTTAAAATGGAAGGAACTGGGTATATGTATAGGTAATCCTTATGGAAAGAATAGAAGTATTCAGTGAAAGAAATTCTCTGCAAAAATTTAAAAGTTGTCAAAATTACAAGATGTTCCTATTTCATTAGTTTGTTTTCAAAAAGAAAGGTTGGAGTATATTGTGAAACCACAGTGTGATGAGAGATCTTCAGCCTCATTTAATAAGATTGTTTAATGTTAGGTGGTTACTTTCACATATTATAACCCTTTTTACAAATAAGTAAAAAGGGTGAAAATGGTGTGCTGAATGATATAAAACAGTGCATACATCCTTCTTGTGACTCAAATTTTAAGTACCTTTTAAACAGCGACTTCTATACTTGTGGTAAACCTGCTGAGTAAATCCATTTTCCTTCAACAATGAATGACTGGGATGTTCAAAGGCTGGTAGTGAGTGAGGTGTACTTCCATAGCTTGCAGATAAGATTTCAGTTGGAATATTTTCACTGGAAACAAGTACACAACTTTACGTTAAAGAACACTGAAAAGTGGTTCTTTATATCATTATAAGAATATTCAAAAGTCAACTTGTACTATATTTTCTAAAAAATTAGTTTTAAAAGTTCATAAAAGTAAACAATACCAGAAGTTCTTTTCAAAGCTTATAATTTCTACATTTGTAAACAAAACTTTAAAAAAATTAAATTTCACAAAAAAATATTAATATGACAACAAGTACAAATTAACAATTTTGATACCTTAATGAGCTTGCTCGAGACCGTGGCTGGTGTTCTCTACTATCCATTACCCAGCCAATATGATGTTCCACAGGTGGATTACTACTATACTTAGTCTTCTGCTTTCTTGGAGTCTATAAAAATATTATCAGTACTAACACAAATATCTGCTAGGTAAACGTCTTGTTAATATAAAATGATATTCATTCATAAAAAAGGCACTAAATGAATCCATCAATAAGAAGCAACCCATCCTTTGCAACAAGTAAATTACAGAAACATATACAGAAGTGTTTATGGAAATCTCCATTTTAGAAAATTAATACATCTATAATTTGTACCCAACAAATAAAAAATATATTTAGTCTGTGAGTAATCACAAACTGTCACAGAATTCCAAAGTTTAGCAGTAATCCAATCATCAAACTAATATTTGAAAAACTTGCATTCCCCAGAACAATTATCATCTTCTTGCTATAGGTTCACTAGAGACCCTTAAAGTGTAAATGTATTTCTCTCAATTCTACTGACCAATACTGTTGTCAAGAGTTGTATCTTTCTAAATAAAAAATGTTATTTTTCAACAAAATATTGTAATTGAATTCCAATAACGCAAATAAAAAAACATTATTTTCTAAGAAAATGGTCAAAGTTAAAAATTTATGATTTCAACTACAGTGCTAAACTAACAAACTTTGATCACAGTTGAAATATTTTGTTATACAGTTTTCCAGTGATGACATTAAAAGCCCTTATTCAGTCAAAAAGATTTCCCAACATGTTTGGATATTTTGATTACTTAAATATGATAGTCACAAATTTAATGAAAGGAAGTGAAAAGTTTATTTGAAATTAGATAAAAAAAAAGAAGTTATTTTCAAAACAAATTCTGTTAAACAACATTTGACAAATTAAAACCACTTTCTTTCAGGATTTGTTAATAGTTTTTTCTTGCACGTAATTTTATATTATCTATAACCAATAGAAAGCCAAGGTTTTCATCTACCAAATGATGTATTAAATAATGTTGATTTCTGAATGGAGAATTGTCAAATGTAATAAATATCAATATTGTTTTTGTTTCTAATTGTCGTGTATG